AGTAAGGCACTTGTTACTAGTAGCGATGCACTTGTTCCTAGTAGCTTATTGTTTCTGTGTAGGCGAACTCACGGACGTGGAGGTCTCACCTGTCCGAGGCAGTCGTGATTGGAATCAAGACTCCGATGACTCCCGTGCTTTGCAGGAAAGCTACGACGATGACTCCGAGGAAGGCCTTCAACATGTTTTTTTTTTGGGGTGAGACATAAGGTCAACACTGCAGGTTGGACGAATCAGCAGCGAATGAGAGTATGAACAGGCATGATGGTTGCATCTTATCTTATATACAATACCTCCCAACCAACAATCAGTCATCACGGTCACATGGCGCTTTGTTTTTTGACTCCACACCCTTGTGCACTGTTCATGCAATCTTATGTTTTCCTTTGCAACAGCTAGGTCACTCGAGGCAGTTGGGCAGGGACTGGATGACGACTGAAGCACATCATAGTGACAGAGGATTCCCCAAATATCACTTTGGGTACTCTTTTCAGGTTCTACAGATGTGTCTGAGTGCAGCTCTCAGTTGATGATTTTATCCAAAACCAGCGAAGACACGGACGAGACATGTTGTCCCACCTCTCGAAACCCAAAGATGCGGCCTCTTAACCACAGAGCTTCCCAATCTTAGGTCCGAGAACGGCCAAGAACTTGGCACAATTGAGAGGTAGTCGGGAAGGGTTGTATATCTACACTAATCTACACGAAATCTGAGGATTGCATTTTTGTTTGGGTCTGGCGTGTCTTGATTCACGATTGTGCTTGTTGCTGAGACTTTCACATTTTTATATACAATATATTTTTAGCACACAACTCTGACTCTGGACATGTTCATATTAGCTTTTGTAGAGCGTCTCAAGTTGATTCACTTTTGATATTTCTGCAGATTGAGTGAAGAAACCACAGCAAATCATTTCAGAAATCATTTCTTTTTGGGGAAAGGCCTGGGCGCGAACAGTGCTCTGTGGAAGCTAAGGCGCTCCTCAGCTTACACTGCAGCAAGCGGGACAAGGCTGAACAAATCAGTCTTTGGGAAACAGCATCAATGGCGGCCTGCCCGGACACAATGTCTTGGGGTCTTCATGGTATCTCAGTCATATCTGGTGTCTCAGGAATGTTTTGGTGCCTACATCATGTTTCTCCGGTGTCTCGGTCATGCGTGAAGTTTTCCAAATGATTTGCTACTGCGTCTGCCCACTGTGAAGATTCAGCCCGCAAAGCACACTTAGAGGCATTCTTGGCCATTATGTGCTCCGACACCATCGCTTGATGGGCACCTTCCTGAATCTTGGCGTTGAAATGCAAAGTTCCACAATCGGTAAAAGTGTATGTGAGTTCTCAATGTGTGGTAGTTTCTGTACTTACATATTATCTAGTACCTCTGAGCCATCAATATGTAAAGCATGCAATACAGTCAATACAGGGTGTAGATGGAAACGAGTAAAGACTACTTTAGAATAGCCGATGCTGCTTTCCTGTTTCTTAGGCATGCCATGGGCAGCGGTGAGCAAGAGCGTTTGGATGCCAAGGAGACGCAGAAGGAGCAAGAACTACCACAGGCAAGGCTCGTGTGGATGAGGCGCAAAGCATCCCATTGGAGGCACTATTTGTTGTGGTACATGTGGATGGAATCAGTGATTCTGTTTATGTCATTTCTCTCTCTCTCTCTATATACAAGACCGGTCTTTGAGAAGTTGGTCAAGAAGTGCCCGTGACTTCACAGCCATAGATCTAGCTATGAACCCAAGCCATCCAGACAGAAGTAGAAGATCTTACCTTGGCCTTAATCGTGCAGGAAGCACACCTCTGGCCACCAAACATTCTGCAGCGCTTCCTGGTCTCTGGCCAGCGGCCTCGTTGGAGCTCTGAAGTAGGTGGGTGAAGCAAGCGTGCGCGACGTGCATCGTCCCTCGTCGTGAGCTTGCCAAGGAGGAACTAAGGTGGGTGAAACTCAAGGTCCTTGGAAGAAGCCTAGGAAGTCTCTACTTGTTTGGCGTACTATCCTTTGGTTTCAGCTGCAGCTGCAGTCTCTAAAAACGGTTCAAGTTGCGTACAACTTGCAACTTGTTTACAAGCAGCATGAAATCAGGCAAAGACAACTTGGCACTGGATGGCATGTCAGAGCTGCAGGCCTTGCGTTTGCATGCTGGCCAGGCTTTGAACTTATGCATACTTAACGCCTTTGCATGATGGGTCTGCCTATAGTCAGCAAGAGACCGTGACAAAGTGGAACCTTCCTGCGAGTTCTGGAATGCTTTGTGAATGTATTGAGTTTTGCAAGATTCGTGATGCCAGACCTTGAAGGACAGCTGAAACTATGGGTCTTTCTAATTTCGAAGGGTTGGGTTTCCAATGTCAGGTGGAGGAGGGTCTCCGAACTGCTGCGCTGTGGTGGAGCCGTGCTGATGCCGTCATAGTCCTGGCAGGTGAGTTGGAAGACACAGGCAGGAAGCCGGAGTGGATAAGTAGAGTGACAGGCAGTCAAGATGAGACGTTAGTGGTTTCAAGCTGGTGTGATCATGCACATTCCTTTCCGGGCAATTTTATCCACACAATAATACATTCTTGTAAACAATTCCCGTTTCTGACGACAAGCAGTGACATCTCGATAAATAGATGTGGTACCTCCGTCCTATACTCCTATTTTGGTGTATTTCATTACTGTTTGCAGTGTTTGGTACATGCTTTAATTGGTCAGAGTTTGCACATAATGTTTTGGAAGATGGGGCAACACATGCAAAAAATATAGATTTGTGTATGTAGGAAAACCAAAGATGTACAGAAAACACTTAAGAAAGAATGATAAGGAGGGGGTCACGTAAGTTCAGTGTTGTAAGTTCAACATTTTTTGAGCAACATGTTGGGTCAACGGGGGGATTTGCCCGGAAAGACAACGACCCAACATGGTCTGCTGTGATACAGACGACCCATTTCGCTGATGATGATGATGATGATGATGATGATGATGAATGATGATGATGATGATGATGATGATGATGA